TAAAAATTCCTCAAGTCGGAATTTATCAATATGTGACTAGTAATCCAAACAAAATTTCAGATGATAAGATTATTTACGTGGACTGGATTACTGGTAAAAGTTACACTTTTGGCGAAGTTAAACATGAATCGAAAAAGTTTGCTGCAGGATTACAGGATAAGTTAGGTTTTCAACGTGGGGATGTCTTGACGATATTTTCGTCTAATCAGGTACTCTAAACTTTTTCATTAGTTAAGTCGTTAATTCATTCATTTGATATAATTTTTTTTTTTTTTTTTTTTTGCCAAGGTTGATTATCCTATTATACTCTTTGGAGCAATTGCAGCTGGTACCATATAATTTCATATAAATTAATAATTTTAATGTTTTTCAATTCTAAACTATGTTTATGCGTCTATAGGAGGCAAAGTAACGATGGATAATCCAAAATCTAGAACAATAGAAGAATTATCTTATCATTTAACCGATACAGGTGCATCGGTTCTAATCGTGCATCCAGAATTTTTTGAAGCTGCTATTGAAGCTTCAATCAATGCAAAAATTCCCACCTCCAGGATATTGTTGTTTGGTGATAAAGAAATAAAGGGATATAAACCTTATCGCTCTATTTTAACTTGTGATCGTGAAATTGAGCCGATTAATTATACTCCTGAAGAAGCAAAATCAACGACTGCTTATATAATTTACAGTTCTGGATCTACCGCCAAACCAAAAGGTGTCGAACTTACTCACACAAACATAACTGCTACTTTAGCTCAAATAAATATTATAGATGATAAAATTGTATCACACAGTGTAATTATGGGTGTCTCAGTAAGTCATATAAAAGGATTCCTCTTAAAATGTTTTCAGGTTTTAGATAATTATTTAGAGTAGTTTTTCATTATGGATTTAAACATATAGCAATTTTGTCACGCTTATGCGCTTGAATTTATTCTTCATTCGGCCTTACTTCATGTATGTAATTCTATATTTGATACTGTTTCGTCATTACATTGTCAACTAAGAGTTATGCGTTAATAAAATAGGGTGCTACTACAATCGTTCATTCAAGCTTCAATTTCGAAACGTTTTGTGAATCAATTCAAAAATATAAAACTACCCATATTTATGCTGCATCGTCAACTATAGTTGAACTTGTCAATAATCCATTGGCTCAAAAATTTGATTTGTCAAGTGTGGATAGGATTTTATACGGGGCAGCTCGGTTAGATTATAAAATAGAAAGAAAATTTTATGAAATGTTTAAAATATTGATTACTCAAGCTTATGGTAAGAAATTTTATCATTAGGTTGTTTGAACTAACGTAACTTCTTTTCTGAACTGTCCAACCGTTCATTATGGTGCATTATTTTTATATCATAATAAAGGTTCTACTGAAATGGGTACGCTACTGTGTTGTCCTGATACAGTGAATAATGCAGCTCCAGGTATTATGTTATTAAATGATGCTATTTACTATTACATATTTCATGGCTTACTAAAACAATATTTTTAATAGGTTCTTGTGGGATTCTTTTTCCGAATATGAAGGCCAAAATATTATCAGAAAATGGTCGTGGTAACTATGGATATATTTATTCTGACTTAAATCCAAATAAAATTTATTATTTTACATTTACATTTAGAATTGGGATACAACGAACCTGGAGAATTTTGGGTTCACGGTCCAACTATTATGAAGGTACGTAGTATAACCATTATACTAATATAATTATGTTACTTGTACTAAAAATTTTACACTTTTAAATAGGGTTATCTCAATAATAA